CAAATAAATAAATAAAACATATAAATATCCTCATTTTAAATGCAATAACTTAATATAATGGTCTTTTGATATCGTTTAAAGGATTTATTTGATATTACAAATCATTTAATGACTAGTTTGGTATCACTGAATTTTTAATACCCTAAACAAATGGTTTAATCTTTTCCATCTAAAGTGTGATACTTTACTTACTAATTAAATAATATAAAACTAGGTAGGGTATCTATTAATAAAATTTGATTATTATTAACATAAAAAATATTACATGTTTTATAAATTCGTTCACTGGACAGCTACCCATTTTTGTTTTCTGGACAATATGGAACTTGGATCTTATAGAAAAAGCTTGAAATTGAAACGCATATTGGCCACAAAGTTCAATTGAAGTTTTACGAATATTTAACATAAAATATAAAAAGGAGTCAGATAAAAACCTTTTCCTTTTCGGCTGTGAATAAACCTATAATAATAAAATCTTTCAGTTCGGACCGGTTTAAAATTAGAGGAATGGGAAAAAAAAATTAGTGCATGGTTTAATTAATTAATTAATTAATTATATATTCTATTTTAAATCATTTTTAAAAACTTTGAAAAAATTATACCGACAGTCTCCTTTTCATGTTAATGTAAAAATATTATGGCCCATTTTAATTTCTCAAACAAATCAGAGTAGGCAAGCCCAGAAAGGTTCACTGAAAAGCCCAAAACGGGAAACTTGGGCTTCGACTCATATGTAAATGTTTACTCGTGCTTGTTTCATTCAGGTTTTCTGCATTTTCTTAAGGAATTGTTAATAAATAAATAAGTAAATGATCAAACATATAAATACTGCATAATTTTTAACATCTTGTTTACAGTGAAAATTTGTACAACATAAATAAATAAATTCAAGAATAATATGAGACTAAATTTTAAGTTATTTTTAGTTCTTTTAAGTGTGTTGTTAAAATAACCAAATTGACATCATAAAGTATAGTATTAAGCATAAATAGTAAATTGGTGAAATAGAAATTATATCAAACTAAACATAGTTATAAAAATGTTCTAAACAAAGATGTAATTGCAGGAACATAAAACATAAAATGAATACAAAAATTGAAAACAAATTGTAGGAAAAATAAACATACGAATTTAGCAATGAACAACAACAGTTATATTTCCCGGTAGCTAGTATTTGTCTAGGTGTAGAATTTCAACCTGCAGAGAGTTTCAAGTGAAGTGTATAATGCAAAAAGCTGTCTACAAAAATGTGAAGCTTCATAATATTTATAAACAGATGAACCACAACCGTTCCCCTTTTTTACGAGCACTTATTGGTAACCTCTTTTTGTGCATGCTTCTTCTCAACCATTGTCGCCCATAATCGTTCATGATCGTGTCTTTTCCATGACTGCATGTTACCCATGATCGTTTCTTCATATCCACAATCTTTGACCTTCAACTGTTGTTAACTGTCGACAATCATTCTTTAGATAGTAGCTTCAAACCTTATGGTTTTTTGTCATGTTTCCTCCTCTTTTGTACTCCATCTAGTATCTTGCCTTTGGAATAAATTTTTTATTATGTTTTAGCGATTTTGAGGGAACCTATCAAAAACTCTCATAGACTTTGAATAATTTCTCCGTCATCCTATGCTATCGATCATTTATGAAATAAATCTGTGAGTTCATTCAGTTTTGTTGGACTTAAAATAAATTTTCTATTAGTTCTTATTTTTTAACTAGTTTTTAGGGAAATTTGAGCTCCATCTTATCTCACGAACTTAGAATAGTTTATCTTGTCAACTCCTATTTTGACAAGTTTTGGTTTTTTTTAACTGGACTTGGAAAATCCTTAGTTTTTTTTTTTTTGAAAAATCACCCTCCTTTTGACAAAAAATGAGCGTTCTCATGATCCTTCAAAATTATTTAAAATATGGCCTTATTCTTGAAGAGGAATGAAGGTCTCTTCGCGATCTTTCAAATATCCTCAAAATGTAACTTTCTATTAGACAAAAAAAAAAACGAGGCTTTTTTTTTTAATCTTTGTGGGAATGTGTCAAAAATTAAGTCTTTTAACAACCTTTTAAAACTTAAATTTTTTCAGAAGTTTGTAACTCGTCTATAGAGACCTGTAATTTAATTTTTAGTTGAAAGATGTCTATACCACTTATCTTCGAGATACGTTTCTTAAAGAAAATATATGAACTATTTCCTATTATAAAAGTATGATAACAGTCTTTGTAATTTAAAATTTTTTTCTTTTTCCAAACACATTCTTATAAAATTTTCTGAGTGTTTCATTTTCAAAACTAGAACATTACCATACAACACACATGCCACAACAACATTTTGTTTGTTGGTAGCAAAATAATCTCACTAAAACTTTACAAAAATTATATTCTAATAATCTTGCATACCTCATTTTTATTTGCTCACTTGATATATATTTTTTAAAAGTAGTTTGAATTTAAATTTTAAAATATGACAATGTTTAAAATTAACTAAAATCAATTAAAATATATATTTGTCTACAAAATAAAAATATAAAGCATATATTAAATTTTTATATTATTCCACATTTATTAAATGATTAAGTTTATCACGCGTTTTGAATCTAACAAGCCATGTTTAAAAAAGAATAAAAATGTAGGTGACAAATAAATAAAAATTACTTAAATTTAAACTTGAAAGGAAGGGTTAGATAAAAAATATATATATACATTGATATATTAATAATAAATCAAATAATATAGAAATATGACGATTATAGATTTAAATTATTAAAATATTTAAGAGAAACATGTGGCGTGTACATCTTCAACGAAAAGGAGTAAACGACATGGTTTTCTTCTCGCATTTTACAGAAAAATCACTTTCGTTGATGGAAAGAGGATAATGTTTAATCGAAATTAGTGAATTAATGGTGGTGGCTATTCGTCTTTGTATAGGTGGTGGAGGATATCCCGCGCCTCATCTCAATATTCTCGTCAAAATATGTTTCAATATTTCTAAGCTGTCTTCAACTTCCACATATTCTCTTGTTTAAACTTATTTCACTTAAATAAAATTAATTAATTTAAACAAATATAAAATTGAACATCTTCTTCTTACACTAGAGAGGGTATGAATCCAAATTCATACTTGATTTTGCTTCTAAGATAATGTATATTTTTTTCAATGCTCTATTACTTTCAATTACATACTTAGAAAAAACTTAAACTAAGTCAACTGCTCCTGTAACATTTATATTTGTTATTTATTTAAATTAACTAAACATATTTTTTTATAAATAATCATTTTTAATTTCATTTTAACTGTAAATTTTCTTTAAAATCTTGTACATAAAAACAAAATTATATATAATACTTCAAAAAATTTAATGTTATTATTTTTAATTCTAAAGACAGTGTCAATTTCCGTACTAGTTTTTATTGTGCTGGTTATTCATAGAAAAATATTAATTATAAATAATGCAAAATAATAATTAAGAATAAATTTCACCATTTTATTAAAATTTATTAACTAAAAAAGTCAACAAATCGAACTTCAAAGAATATTAAAGAGTAAGAATTTTTATTTCAATGCTTTTTCTTAAATGCTCCACACATGATCAAGCAAAAATGTGACATTTCCGTTGTTTTTTATTTTCGGAGTTGTGGTTGGGAAGGGTCTGAGAGCCTCTTTCGTTGGAACGGGATTCCACCAAGCAATAGCATAATCTTACGGCGTCTATAATTTAGGTTCTGTTAATCGGAGGAACCAAATATCACCAACAAATAACAAACGTACGTTAAGTAACAACAACTTTACATGTTTTTTATTTTCAGAATTTAACTCTAATGTAGTCAATGTGTACATTTTTTTTGTATGTTCTTGTCTAATTTCAAATTATTATATTATTAAAAGTATTAACCTTTTATAATAACTATTTTTACTTTTTACAACTCAGTGTTTGTCGTTTTTAAGAGTAATACTGCATTTATTTTCGTAATATTTATTGTATTAGATATTTTATCATATATCTTTTTCTCGTCTCTCATGAGATATTTTATCATGTATCTTTTTCGAAATATATAGAGGCTATTTGAATGAATTTTGTTCAAATATTTTTTAAAGTTATTAAATTAAATTTATGACATGTTTAGATAAATCTTAAATAAGTAATTATTTAATAAATATTAATTACATAATTATAATAAATATTTTATCATAATTTTTTATATAAGTTAAACAGTGTTTATGAAAATTATAAATTATTTTTATATATATTTTAAAAAACTCGTTTAAATTTTAAACGTTCCTTTAATATATTTTATAATAAATTATAAATTAAAAATATATTTATTTTTTATAAATTAATTACTATGTTAAAAAAGTACATAATTTTTTTTATAAAAAGACTTTCTCTCCCTTTATTTCTACCATAATTTGTCATCTTAGCACCTCTAAAATTAAAATATATACTTAATCTTTATAATTGATAATCATTTATGAAGATCGCGTATATATATATATATATATATATATATATATATACTTAAATTTTTGTGTTTATTCACACTTTTAAAAACTATATAAAAACTTAAAAAAATCTTTAAATAATTTATAATTTTGTTATATCTTAACTAAAATACTATTGTTTAAACTCATTTATTTTATTTTTTTACAAACTCACTATTTGATAAATGAAGAAAGGATGTAATAAATTAAGCGATATAATTAAATAAAAATTATTATAAATTTTTAGAGTTAAAAATTTTCAACTGATAATAATATATATTTAAAAAATTATTTATTACAACTTTATATTTTTAATAAAAATTGTTATTTTTAAATACCTAAATTGAGTTATAAAATTCAAGATTAAAAATAGCTTAGTTATAATAGTTTATTTAAATTATCATATAAATATTAAATAAGAGTAGAATTAGAAAAAAAATAATTACAGGTATAATAATAATAATAATAAATGGACCGAGTCCACGTATGCATAGAATATATGAATGGTGTGTAACTTGTAACAAACGGCGTCACTGTGCTGCGATTGTTAGTTGAGTCAGTGTTGTGGTTCCTCACTCTTTCAGCCGTCACACTCTCACACCCCCAAAAATGATCGTTTCTCTGCTGTAATCGCCGCAAACCTCAGATCCCAATTTCCGATCCATTTTCTCTTTTCGTTAAATACGAGGTTAGGGTTTCCATGGCTTCGGAGACGAAGATCGTCAATCTTCCCGAGGAAGCTAAGCTCGCCAGAGAAGGCGTCAACGCTCCCAGCTACGCTTTTTTTAGCATCTGCAGGTCCCTCGTCGCCGGTGGAGTCGCCGGAGGAGTGTCAGTCCCTTTCTCCGTTGTTTTTTCAATTTTCCAGAACAAATACAGATTTCTTGGGGAAACACACACAGACACGTCCAATATGCATGTATTGACTGCTTGTTCATACGAAAACGGAAATGATTGGTTTCGTGACATGTTTAATGTCTCCGGAAATTTCGATGCTTGGTGAGGGTGGAAATAGAATCATGCTATGTGGATATTGATAGTTAAACTTAGATGTTTCAACGTTTGGGAACAATGGAGCAGTTGGTCTTTCTGTTTCACGATTTTTTTCATTAAATTTAATGGAATATGATGTACTTAAAATACACGCCATTGTTCACCTGGAAGGTTACGAAAAATAAGTTTGTGTTAATCCCCTTACAGCTGTATCAGACAGAACCACGTCAATTTTGGGGCTTTGATTTGAAAGAAGCCCTTTTTCCCCTTATGCTTAAATAACCGATGGGTAAATTATTGAAATTCACGTCAATTTTGGGGCTTTGTTTCGATCGATGGAATGAATTAAGTTAGTGCGTGCCTGTATGTCTTTGAAGTCTATCAATTTTGTTTTAATAATTTCTATGTTGCCTTACCAGCATGGCATTACTTTCCAATACAAAAATCTTTTTACTTTTGGAGTTTGTTGGGACAGTGATGACAACCTAATCCAATTTTCCTGGAAACTATTTCCTACTAATAATTCTAAGGTTCTTGTCGCATTATGTTGAGTTTTAACTGACTTGTGCATTTTTGTACCGTTGCAGATCGCGAACAGCAGTGGCTCCACTTGAACGGTTGAAAATTTTGCTGCAGGTTAATCTATTTCGTTGGTTACACCAAAATGGGATTTAGCTGACGTTTATTCTTGTCTGGGTTGAAAAAAAGAAGTGCATCTGAAATGCTACCTTTTTGGTTGGTGCGTTTGTGGTTGGATGTATCGTTCATGTGATTTGATGTGTCTTTGCCATTTATAGGTTCAAAATCCACACAACATAAAATACAACGGAACAATTCAAGGTCTAAGATATATATGGAGAACTGAAGGTTTCCGTGGATTATTCAAAGGGAACGGTACTAACTGTGCTCGAATCGTCCCTAATTCTGCAGTGAAGTTCTTTAGTTACGAGCAAGCTTCCAAGTAAGTTTTCCTTTAGATATCCATAGATGCACTGATTGCTTTATTGTTTAGCATTTTCTTTAGATATCTTTTCATTTTGCTGCACTTTTATGCTTATTTACTTGTAATGATAGGATCCTGCCGTCCTTTTTAAATTTTCTTTGAATCAGTTTTCTTTAAGCAGGGTCACTCCTATGGCAGAGAAGTTTCAATTTTTAGTTCTATGCATTGCACGTATAACTCTTTCTCCTAGTTTTTACTGAGTGTTCCTTTTCTGGCAGAGGTATACTACAGCTGTATCAGAAGCAAACTGGAAATGGTATGTCCATGTTTATTATTTATTTCCTTTTGGCATGTGTGCCTATATGTGTGTGTGTGTGTGTGTGAGGGATGGAGGGATGGAGGTAGGTGGAGAGCAGGTTCAATAGCATGTTTTGGATGTTGATCAAATAGGGGGAAATCACTTATTTGAAAGGACAAAAATTTCACACAGTTGTAAGGAACTCCATATACGTTTCTTCCTTTTTCATAAGCTCTTTTTTTAAGATTTCGATCAGAAGTTGTTTTGAACACAAAATAAGCTAATCCAAACACACTAGGTTGGCCTCAATAATTTTTTTCATCAAAAAATATATTCAAAAAAGTTGAAAATAAGACTTAAAAGTAAACAATTATGTCTAAATTAAACTTCTCAATTATAAAAACCCTTTGTCTTAACTTTTTTTTTTTTCCTTGTGGCAGAGGATGCTCAGCTGACTCCCCTTTTACGTCTTGGGGCTGGAGCATGTGCTGGAATAATTGCCATGTCTGCAACTTATCCTATGGACATGGTTCGAGGCAGGATAACTGTACAGGTACTTTTTTTTTTCTTTCAATTTTCTTTGTACCAAATCCTTGCTTTGGGTCAGAAAGGTAGCTTCAAATTTATAAAATTAATATTACGTATTTGTATTTAGTGGAAAGAAAAATTGTATATAACATTAAGTTTGCTTTTCTTTGTATTTGCAGACAGAGAAGTCCCCTTACCAGTACAGAGGAATGTTCCATGCTCTGTCAACTGTACTTAGGGAAGAAGGTCCACGTGCTTTATATAAGGGCTGGCTTCCTTCAGTCATTGGAGTTGTGAGTAGTTTCTAGAATTTATAAATAAGAAATCCTAATATACTTTTACTATTGGCTTTATGGGAAAATTCAATTTATATTTTATAGTAACCGTGTAGAACCTGCAGGCTGTAGTTGGGGGAGGGGGAGAACCATGGACCACACACACTTCAAATTTTGTTGTGTCCTAGTCAATGTTCCCTCTTCTTAGGGGACAATTGAATACCAATACATTTTTATGCTGCTTATAGATGTGGGGGGATATTGGTAATGACATGTAACTAGGGTTTTAGTGAGTCATACCTTGTTATTGTCTGTAGGTAGATAGCATCTCCTGTGCAGAAGGTAACAAAGATTAACACGGGGTTGTAGAATTGATCATAATTACACACCTAAAATTGACACGTTCAGTTCTATTGAGAGGGGAATTTCTATTCAACTATTTGTTTTGCTAATTGTTCTACTACTGCCATAACTGTTGCAGAAATTTCTAAATGCTTCATAGGACAGTTTCTGTAGATAAATTCTTACCATTATGCTTTTGACATGCTTCATAGTGAATTCTAATATTTAGTACTACTACTACTTGGGTCTGGTGACAAGGTTTTCCCTTGTTATGGTAGGTTCTAGGTGGAATATAGCTAGGTACAAAAAACAGAAAATCTGTTAGTCATGCTTCAGTTAAGTACTCAAGTTTTGTTTGACACCCAGACTAGAATTGGGGAAAAAGAAAAGAAAGATTTTAGTGATTAAAATGAAAATGAACAGAACAAAGGAGAGAAATCTCTCTTTTAAAGGTTTACCCTTCACAAAGAGCAAAAGCTCAATTTACAAATGATATTTGACAGAATAAATTCCTGTCCCTTCACTCCTTTTTATTTATGTCATTAACCTCCTCTAACTAACTAACTAATATCCTGACAGTACTAACTTCTTTTCTCTCCCAACACCCATCAAGTTTATAGAAATGTGAAAAGTTGCTTTTCTAAAATATTCTCCGCATGCTTCATAGTTATATTTAACTGACTAAAGTTCACTCTAATTTTCAACGGAAGCTCTCTTTTGGGTGCTGTCAGTCGACTTGATGACTTGATGTTTCTCTTACTCTCTATTTTCCATATTTTTCAGATTCCTTATGTGGGTCTCAACTTTGCTGTGTACGAGTCTTTGAAAGATTGGTTAATTAAATCGAAACCATTTGGTCTAGTTCAAGATTCTGAGTTGAGTGTGACAACTCGCCTGGCTTGTGGTGCTGCAGCTGGAACTGTTGGACAAACCATTGCCTACCCTCTTGATGTCATTCGTCGAAGAATGCAGATGGTTGGTTGGAACCATGCTGCTTCTGTTGTAACTGGTGATGGAAGAGGCAAAGTATCACTTGAATACACTGGCATGATTGATGCATTCAGGAAAACCGTCCGGTATGAGGGATTTGGCGCTTTATACAAGGGTCTGGTGCCCAATTCTGTGAAGGTCAGTTTTCATCTAATACTCATGAATTAGGATCTGTTCTGAAAAAAATGTGGGCAATCCATATCTACCTAAACATGCACTTCTTTTCAGAAAAGTATGGTTGCTGTTTTATTCCTTGTTTTGTGGAAGATATTACTTATTTATTATATCTGTGAATCCCTTAGAAAAAGTTTATGCACATTTCAGTCGCCTGGATGATTCCTTTGTGTGATTCCTCATTTATCCACCACACTGTCTGGGTGTGGGTGTTATCTATTTGAGCTGTAAACTTAACAAGCTTCTACGTGATCAGAACAAAAAAGTTTACTTGTCAATGAGTTATTGTAAGATTCAAGCGTTGTGGTCTGAGTCAAATATTGATATTTTCAACTCAAATTATTTACTACTCTTGCTCAGTTTTGGATCAGCTAAATGAAATACATGATCAACTGCAAATACTCATTATCATGCACCAATCAGTACATGTGTTAAGATTTAATTTAAATGCAAGATCTGGAATCTGAAATTTGAGTCTTACATTAAAAATATATGATTCTAGTGTGGAGTTTATCAGGCCTTGTACTTCTATTATTTTTAACGTTGTCTGGTTCTATCTCAATTTGAGAGTCATAAACAATCTTATGACTCATAACATTGTTTTAAAATCCCCTATTTTGTGCTTTGGTCACATAAATTTTGGTTTGATGTTGGAATTTTGTTTGCTGTTATCTGCAACCACACAAATCAATGCACTTTGCGTAGCAGCCTATTTGTAATGCAGTCAACTGAATATGTTCTTGTTATAGTTCCATTTGCTTAATGTCTCCCCTGGATGGTTGGTGTTTAGAAGTTATCACAATTCCCGTTTACTGTAGCCATCGTGATATGTGTGTGTGCGTGTAGACCCTGAATTGTTGTTGATCCAAAATTATTTTTAAATGGCCTTAATCTTCCCTTATCTTGATTTATCTCTCCTGATATCTTGCAGGTGGTCCCATCCATAGCAATTGCGTTTGTAACATATGAGGTAGTGAAGGACATTCTAGGAGTGGAGATCAGAATATCAGACTGAAGGTTGGCATCCACCTGATATTTGGCTGCCTGTTGTTTTCTTGTAGGCAAGGGGATGCGGAGATGATAAATTAGGGTTATTTTCTTGTCTTTCATCTGTTCAAGAATGAGTTAGGAAGCACTTGAGCTAGTGTCTATAAATTAATTCCCTTGTTTCCCATTTGTTTTTCTTTGTGAACGTGCTGTAGCTTTTAGCTTCTTATTCATATTCTATGGCAATAAATGTTGTGGATTAACAATGCAAGGACTGCATGGCTTTCTGCTCGAGTGAAGAAAGCATTTTTATTGGTGGAATATCCAGTGTCCGATTACTGAGTTCCTCTCCCTACCCTAATCTGGAAAGAGTGTTTATTATATCAAATTTGCATTGTTGCGTGCAGGTTACTAAGCAGTCATTTTGATCTTTGATCCTTTCTCAATTATTAAACAAAGGATAAATAAAGATTTGTCCTTACCCCTAACATAATTTTTTGTATTAGTTTTTGTATGAAAATACTATATATTTTGACGTTTTTCATTTTAGTCATGAATGAAAACATTTTGCAATTCAATTTTGTTGATAAAAAATACATTTTGACAGTTCCTTTAAAGTTTTTTTTTTTTTTTTGGTTTCAATTCAAATAGATTTAACATTATGATAACTAATTTATAAATGTTTTTTCATGTAAAAGTTAAAATATAGGTTTACTTTATATATATGTTAAAACAAAAAATATGTTAATTAAAGAATTAAATTTATAATTAACTTTTCCATGAAGAATTGATTAACAGATGATTATGGTCATGCATCCTTAAAACAGGGATAGAAAGTCCTTAGTATTTCCTTTAGTTCTAAAATGTGGCCATTGAGTTATAGCATAAAAAGGTGGTCCAATACTATTTCGTACATTTCCGTCTAGGTATTTTAGAGCCAAATAGGCAAATAGGGAAACTGATTAGAAAATGTGTGGCTACGGAACCCAGATGGAATAAATCCATACAATCTGAACAAACCCGTCGTCATCGCAGTATATTTCTAGTCTCCCCAACTATTAGCCGTTTGAGTGAATATTCATTAATCTATTTTCATAAATTGATGAAGAACTCTTTTACACCCCCTTAATAATTGTATTCAACACTTTTTCTTCCAACTTATGCTTACAGAATTTTGTTTTCCAAACTTTCATTCAACATGCGATGTTACTGGAAATCTGGCACATTTATAGTCAGTTTAAGATTAAAAAAAATCAATAATTTTTACTTAGTGCCTTATAAATTAAGAGGGCATTCCAATACTCTCTCATATATAAAATTATAATTATTATTTTTATATTAAATATGTATAATAAATAGGAACGATTAATAATTTATTTAAAAAATACATAAATATCTTTTAATATTTAAAATATTAAAAAAATTTCAAGTATTATTTTAAAAAAAGTATAAAATATCTTCTTAAGTTTACAAACAAAGAACTAAAGTGAGAAACACATTTTTTTAATATAACAATAATCAAATTTATCAAAATATAAAATTCTAAACAAAATGGATTGACTGCTAAATATATTCTATATATACAAAACCACACAAACACGCAAATTTTGCTATGGTGAAAAAACTGATTGTTCGCTTTCCTTGCTGCACCAAATATTTTGTGAAATCCTCCACAGTAGAATTTGCTTTACATTTTTCTTCCATGCCTGAGCACAACATAAGAACAATGCTTAATCTTTCATGTCAATGACTCGGTGCTACAATTATATTAGTTCGTAGTAAAAGTGTGTTTGAGTTTATGTTGTTGTTTTGTGCACAAAATTATAAAATGAAAGAAAATTAGGAATTGTTTTCTTCCACTTGGTTGGATTCACAAAAACAAGCTGAATGAATTCATATGCCAAAATTCAAATTATGCTTCATTTAGTTGGGATAATTTTCCCAACAAATATTTATAAAGATTAAAAAACTATAATAAAATAAATTTAAATTTTTTAAACAAGTTAAAATCAACTTATGAATATCAGCTTCTTTAATTTTTTTCCATCTAACTTCTTAAAAAACTTATGTGCATAAGTTAATTTTAATTTCTGATACAAACTTAATTATTTTATCTCATTATTATTTTATAAACATTTGTTAAAATTCCATCCAAACTGGCCTCCATCTTTTGCTAATCTTAGAGAGATTCTTTTGTATCATATCTTAATTCAACTTTCTGTTTCTCCTAATCAGGAGAAAATTAATTAAGTTTTAATTTGTACCACTTTTTTGAAAAAGATGCGTGGAAGCTTACCTGGAGTCTTTTATGGTAGTTTGAAACCTTGATGAAAATGGTCTCTTCCCAAGCTTGGGCTCATGTTTCTCTCGTCTCTTGGTTTGTAATGTTGAAATGCATGCTTTAGTTACATCAACCTCATCTTTTGTGATCTGCTCCTTCTCCTCATATTCCATGCACTCATCGCTTGAGAAGTAGAATAACGAAAGCAACACAAGCAACATGTTAAGTTCAGCTAGGGATGTATTGGGTAGCTGTGAATGATTCAATGCATCATTATTTTGTTCCTCTTCATACCCTTCCATCCTACCTATCTCAGTGTCTCTTTCTTTCTCTTCTTCAGCCATAAGCTTTCTACAAAATTGTGTCATGAAATGATGAAATCAAACTAAGATTTTAAACTGTATGCATGCATTTATTATAACGTGTGCTTGGTTATATGCATGCTTCAAACTTCTTTTCTCGCTGCAAAAATAGATAAAAAAAAATAAATGTAAAGGTGGTAAAAAATTCACCCTGGTTAAGGATGCCCACTATAGCCATTGGACTAATTTGAGTTTTGAAGTTTGGGTAAATTTTATTCTCAATTCCATGTTTCCAATTTCATTTTTCTATTTCAAAATGTGAGGTTATTGATTGACCCTTTCCTTTTCCATCATTCATTGGTTCATACAATTTATGGTAACATTTGCTGGAGAAAATATCACATCCTAACTGTGATCCACTCTTTGTTGCTTTGTTAAATTGAGGCTTGCCGTCAGTTTAGTCACGGGGATTTATTTTCCTTCTACCAATATATAGTCATTACAATATTACTCTAATTCTTGTTTCATTATCATCTTAACTACAATGTCACCCCATCATTTTTTTTTAATTTAAAAATCAACGACAATAATAATAACAATAAGAATGACGCATGAAGATGAAAGTGGACAACGTATGCTTTCCTTAATAATTAATATTTACACAAACATTAATGTATATATGATTTGTATTTTAACTTTTTCATTTATAATAATTCATTCTATCAACAATACTTTAAAACATGTGGCTCTATTGGAAAAGATATTTTAGTTTAATTTATATTTTTGAGTTTGAGTCCCAACAAACACAAATTTATTAAATATTCAGAGAAAAATTTACTCTAATCAAATAATATTACTCCCAGTAAAACTATTTATAGTCTATTAAATAAATAATTCAATAATTTACTTTAGAGTAGAAAAAAAGGTAACTAGATATATAAGTTAATTTTTTTATATGTTAAAATTATAATTATCTATAAAATATCATAACACAATTTTATATATAATAAAGTTAATTCTCTCAATATAGTTTTTTTTATATATGTAAAACTTAAATAAAGTTGATCTCATGTATACATTAAACCAATTAGTTATCATTCTTAAACGCTTTTTAAATAATAAGGATATATATATTAATAATATTTTTAGTCTTACAATAAAACAGACGCGCCAAAGCCTTTAAGCACATGGAATGGAAGATGGGACAAAACGATGCGTTTTGATCGTGTGTTTCTTGTGAGTCGCTGAGTGGATCTGTAGGAGTGGAAGAAGATGCAGTGGTACTTGGTCGCTGTGCTCCTCACCGTTCTCACCAGTTCTCAGGTCATTCTCATGCCCTATTTCCCCCAAATCCTCATTTAAACCCTAGTTACATACATTTTCACGTTCCGTTCACTCACCCACTCTAATTAGTTGATATTGATAATTTCGTATTGCAGGGAATATTGACAACCCTATCGCAAAGTAATGGAGGCTACAAGTATGATTACGCCACTGTTCCATTTCTTGCTGAGGTTTTTAAGGTAAAGGATTAATGTATCAATTTTATTCGATGGCAACCAAAAACCAAACCAAGTTTTGGTTTCTAATAACACTTTGTTGGTGGTTTTATCACTGTTGTCGTACTCAGCTTGTCGTGTCAAGTTTGTTACTGTGGAAGGAATGCCAAAAGTCACCTCTGCCAAAGATGACAACGGAGTTGAAAACGGTGGCTCTGTATCCCATTCCTTCCATTATATATCTGATCCACAATAATGTTCAATTTGCTACCCTCACATATGTTGACACTTCCACCTATCAGATAATGGGCAATTTGAAGATTGTTACCACTGGAATACTATTCAGGTGCATTGTCTTTTCAGTTTTGGAAGATCAATGTTCATTGTGTTTTGTTTCTCTATTAAAGCTGATGCCTTTTCTTTCAAGGTTGTTCTTAGGGAGGAGGCTTTCTAACTTGCAGTGGATGGCAATTGTGCTGTTGGCTGTTGGGACAACCACAAGTCAGGTGCCAAAAACTTATCTCTCGCAACTTTGGTTTTGTGGCTTTAAATTTGTTTTTCATAAGAAGATATATGAATTTTATGCATTATTTGCTATGTATTATGAACTGACAAATTCAGTGTTAAGGACTTAGACAAACGTCTGGTTTTAACGTTTGGACAGGCTCGCATAGTTATGATACGATAGAAATGGATAAATTTAATATTTCATTTGCTGAAATGGTATTCAAATCTTATCAGGTCATTTTCATACAGCAAAATGATTATTTTCTAGTTTGTTTTATGTTGTTTTGTTTTGGAAGATGCCTTACGTGCACTTCTTCTACCTTATCCATTTCTCCTCCTAACAATATTTATTCTTTTCTATGAATTGTAAATGTGTAGATGATATGATATTGAGTCATAACAAGCTAAAATGTGTTGGAATTGTTTTATTTTATGATTTATTCTACTGTTTTAATCATAATTCATAACCTGGTAGAGTTAAGATCTTGATAGCTTCAAATATTGAACCATTTTGAGAAGTACATTTTTCCATTAAGAGGGTTTCAAATAAATTCAACCAGCTTTGGGCTTCCTCTGCTGACACTTGTACATGGTCTCAAAGATTTTATTAATATAGGTTGCACATGTGTGTACTTAAAAAGGAGATTAGACTGAATTTTCTTTGGTCATGGGAGGAAGGGCCTTTTAGGGAGGATAAGCAATCTTCCTAAACCTAAATAAATAATAAAAAGAAAACAGTGAGACAAAGTAGCTCGCAAATGAAACAGATCTGTCCTCTTTGCATGTTGTAAAATTTCCCTTGACATAAGCATGAGTACAAGAACTAAGAGACGTAATGAGCTTGCATGTTAAACTATATGAAATTGAAGCCAATATACATCCTTGTTCTGCTTTGTTTTTGTGGCAACTGATCAGTATATTAGGAGAATTAGCCTTATGATAAAAATTTTATTTAGACAGAATCTCCACTGTTTATTGTTTTAGGTTAGGGGCTGTGGAGAGGCTTCATGTAATTCCCTTTTCTCAGCACCAATTCAGGGCTACATGTTAGGAGTTCTATCTGCTTGTCTCTCGGCATTAGCTGGAATTTATACTGAGTTCTTGATGAAGAAAAACAACGACAGCTTATACTGGCAGAATATACAGTTGTACACGTAGGTATTTTACTTGATATTGTCATGTCAAATATCTACATAATCATGAGCAAACATATCAGTGTGATAATCTTTTGACTATCTATTTCAGAAGCAATTTCTTCCCCATTTCCTCTTCCGTAGCCTATTAAAAGAATGTGATTGGTTTATGTATTAAGAAATGAATGTTCTGTTTTCACTTGCTAAGAAGGAGCAGAGCATATATTACTGTTGAATTCATGAGGTTCTTGCAAAGTAGATTCCTAATTCTTAAAGTCTTTCAACTTTGTCAGTTTTGGGGGTTTTGTGCTTTTATTTTCTGTGTAGCTGTGTTTTCCATTTAATACATTTAGATTTCCTTGATTGTTGGTATATCAAGTAACATAAGCATGCATTACTCTTTAGCTAATTGTTCTGAGTTTATTTTTTAATTAAGAGAAACTTATTTCTGCACTGTTCTTTCTTAGAAAGTTGTAAATTGATGGTTCTGTAAAACCAGAAATGTGACAAGGGCTGCTTGAGTATTGTGGTTAATTTGTTGTGGCTCTCTAGTGAATGAATATGATTACCATGATCAAATATGTCAGTTATGTACCCATTAAATGAAATTTCTCTTCAGGTTTGGTACAATTTTCAATATGGCAAGACTTCTTATGGATGATTTCAGAGGTGGATTTGAAAATGGACCCTGGTGGCAACGTATTTTCAATGGATATACTATCACTACCTGGATGGTGGTATTAAATCTAGGGTCTACTGGTCTTTTGGTTTCATGGTTAATGAAACATGCTGATAATATTGTGAAGGTATAAGTTTTGACCCTCCTGCAGACCTCTTTTTCTTGACACATTTGGGGGTTTTCTCGTAAGAATAATCTTTTTCCTGTGAGAGAAATAATTATGTGACACTGAAAATAGTGATGAAGTATCACATCACAGTATATGGTGTATTTATTTATTTATTGTCTGTTCTTTTTCTCCCCTAATTGTAACTTGTTTCGGCTTTCTCTAGGTCTACTCCACATCAATGGCAATGCTGCTGACAATGATACTATCATTATTTCTCTTCAACTTTAAACCTACATTGCAGGTAATTTCCAGCCTGAGCAATTCCAATATTTGTGGGCAACCATTCTATGTTCTCTCCTCCTGGTGTTACTTTTTAGGCAAATCATTTTGTTGCACAGAATTTATATCTTAGATACCTCATGGAGACATAATCATATTATGTTATTTCACAGGATAAGCTTAGCTGTTTTGCTGTTTCTCTAGTTTAGAATCTCAACCTGTTCTTAAATTTTGGGTAATGCTTGTTATAATCATTCTTTTTAAAACAGATCAGCAATGTGCTAATTTTTTTGCAACTGTACCTTTCATAGATTACCTTTTTTTTTTCATTTATTTTTTCAAGACTATTGGTCACTCTTTGTAAGTAAATACCCTTGTTTTATATTTTTTATGAGGCTGTTGTTGAGGTTGAATATTGATATGATTGTTTAAAACCTTTCATGCTGTTGTTCTCAGGCTGAAAGTGGATATTGATTTTTTTTCCCTCTTTGCAGCTTTTCTTGGGCATTATTATTTGTATGATGTCTCTACACATGTATTTTGCCCCACCAAATATGCTCTTAGATATGCCATTAACAGTTAAATCAGATGAAGAGAAGCTCGTTGAAGTTTCTATTGATCGACGAACACATTCATGATGTTATATCGACATCTGAATACAATGCTTTGGTAAATGAACATCCATTTCAATTCTGAATTTCGTTTTGTTTTCTAAATACATCAAACAAAATATTCTCATATGACATCTGACATTGCTGCATAATGTGTGTATCATTAAGGAAGTATTTATTTGATATTAAACAAATAATATTTCTTCCTTGTGATCTAGTAATCCTGGGTTTCACTTGTGGAAAGCCACGAGTTACCCCTCTTTTCATGATTCAATCTTTCCCAAACATTGAAATAGTGGAAGCCTCATGCATTCACCCGTTTAAGTAGTCATATGTAAGTGTAACTTCACAAATATGACTTGATATCCTCTGATTAATGTGATTATATTCTGGTTATGTATGTGCAAATCTATATTACCTAGTAGGATAAGGCTTTATTATTATGGTGCATGCTTTGTTCTGAATGTAGTATCATTTTCTATGAGATATTGCAGGTTTTTTGGTATATAATAAGATATCACTTTCTAGTTTGAAGGACAGTCACATGCTCCTTTGTGCTAATTCTACTTTCAAGTTCTTATCTAGTAGGTACACACTGAAGTGGTATTAGAAATATATATTGGTAACTGATGTTTGCAAATTGTACCTATCTGTACTTAATGGGCTTGTTATAACTTTTTGTGTCTATTAATTCCCTTATGAGCAAGCAATTGGTAATTTTGACTTTCAAGATTTTCTTATTGGCTCTGCAGGTATTTTTAAATTGTTCTTTCCCAGGTTTTTCCTATAAGCCCTATGAAAGTCATTTATTCTGTAGAAGAAACACTGCTTATAATCCAGGTTCCATTGATTCTGTGACTTTGAGGAGCATGGGCATGTTTGATGGATGACTTCCAAATTTCGATATAGCTAATTTGCACATCTCATATATTGTCTGTGTTTAAATATATGAAAGGAGGACATTGTAGGAAAAGATGGTTTAATGAAAGTGCGCAGAATGTGATTTAGACAGAAATAGAATATTACCGTTGGCTTTTGGTGTCTTTTACTTATCTAGCTGGTGGTGATAGAGGTGCGACCCATTGACACCAAGGCACGTGAAGCCGGGCCCTAATTCTACCTAGTTGCTGTACAAACTAAACGATTCTTCAACATTAATTAATTTAAATCGAAATTTGTTTTGCAGTTTGATGCTCATATGGAGTGATTGGGAAATAGATACGGAACTGAAATTTGTGTCCATCTTTACGGCTACATTTAGTAGACAAGGTTGTTGGTGTTGGAGTGAGGTTAATAATCGACATTCAACATTCAACATTGACTGACATTTGTTTGATTCCGTGGAGTGGCTCAAATGAAGTTTAACTGTTTAAGAAACCGGTAACAGATTAATGAAGAGTCTTGAAGAGGCATTCTATTTTTTAGGACACAATAAATCAACGAATTTGGCATACTAAACAGGTTCCATTGATTCTGTTTCAGGCTAGGTAGATATGTTTTGTTAGCTTCAGTTCTCATGATTGAGTTTAAGCATTTAAAAGGGATAAATTTTTGTTGAGAAGAAAAATATTATTGCTTTAAAGTAATAAATAAATAAATAAATAAAAAAAAAAATATATATATATATATATATATAAAATAAAATTTTATTATTGGTTCCTTAAACTTAATCCTGTGAAGTGTGTTTAATTATTTTTAAAAATGTTAAAACACACTTTTTAACGTATTTTATGATTTATTTATTTTTTAAAAGTTTAAATATTTATTTTGTAAATTGATATTTTTTAAAAAATTTCTTTAATTTTTTTAAAAATTGACTAATGACAAATGTTGTGGTGGAGAGTGTGTTAAAAAAGAATATGTTGCTGGCTAACATTGCTAATTTGAAAAAGAAAATATCTCAGCAGTTACTAGCTATCGTAAGCTCAAATAAACCCCAGTTTTAATTGGATTTTGTTGGGTTATGTTGATTTGGTTGGTAAGATTAATTGAATACATCTAGGCATAGTCCAAGGGTCACTTGGGTCTATTTGCAGGGATGAAAAGCAACAGCAATAAAAAAAAAATTAGAATAATAAGAAAGGGAGATCAAATTCAAAGTTAGCTGTGTATGTCAATCGTATATTAAGTTCTAAGTCTGTTTCAATTAGGTTGTATTGGATTCAAGTGTTATAAATAGCTTTTAGCATTATATGAAAACAATTTGGGATTCACAATATCAGTGGGATGTGAAAATTCGGGTGATGCTCTAAGCCTTTGAAACTTCTTTCTTCATGAATCGTACATAAACTATGGTGACTACAAGTGACTAATCAAAGTAATTACAGTGTTAAACAATTTTACTCCTAAAATTCATATGCACCAACGTCAGAAAAGAGTTATGGTCCCAATGCCTTTACAACATACGGCAAACAATGGTTGCCACAAATGCAAAAGGTAACCAATAATGAACATTAATTAAAAGTTTTCCTTCCGATTCATTGGGATATTCTTTAAGAGAAAGATGTGATATAAAATTTAAAAAAAAATTATTGAATGTATTTACTATTTAGTGAATTGATAAAGAACAAAATAATTAATTAAATAAAAATATTTATTATGCTAAACACATAAAAAATTTAAAATTTTAAATAATTAAAAATATATGAAATATCTCTTAATTAGTGTCTTTAAGTCATTTGTTAATAAGATCTATATTAAAATGGTAAAAATTTAAAGTATTTTAAAAGTAAGGGTGAGCATGAATTGGATTTTCATAAAACCAATTCAAATTTACTTTAAATTCAATTATATAAATTGGATTTTAAAATAATCTATTTTATTTTTTTTAAAACTAGTTTTAAAATTTGATTTTGATTTAAAATCAATTTTAAATTTAATTTTGGTCAAATTATATTTGAATGCTTACTCAGTGCTATATAATTATTAAGTAATCAATTTTTCTAATTTTATATTATTTTTATTATGTTTTTAATTATAAATTTATTTTTTAAAAATTATGTTTTGATGAATAAAAATATTATTAATGTACTTTTCTTAAAAAATAATTTGAAAATATTAATCAGTATTCTTAATATTTTGATATTTATGATAATATAAATATAGTTTTATTTATTTATTTATTTTATGACTTTAGGGAAAGTTTTTTAGTTTTTTGTATTGAAATTATTTTTTTAAAAATAAAATAGAGGAGTAAAAGGTATGATTTTAACTAGATCTTTTATGTTTCTAAATGCTTTTTTAATCGTTTTCTTTGAGTGGAAGCGGATAGAAAGCATGCTATAGTTAGATGTTTTCGTAATGTTTTTTGTAATATAATTATAGATTTTATTTGAATAAATTGTATATTTGTATTCTAAAAAATAATCATTTATATGTGTTCACTATTTTTCAAAATAAACCAGTTTTAATAGATAAAATCTAGATTTATCAAAGGAGATCATTCCGATAAGAAAATAAAATAAGTTCAAATATTCAGTTTTATTAAAAATTTAGATTTTAAATTAAAATTAGTTTAATTTTAGTTATGAATTGGACTTCTAAATCTGAATTTTTTTCTTCTTATTTAAAAATATAGTACACAATTTATTAATTATATGTAAATTTCTATAAGAGATTATGTGAAGAGAATAAAAGGTTGCATAGACTACAAAATGTCTAACTTATGTGCAAAGTTGTTTATTTATTTATAGCTATGTGAATTATGTGGAAAAACTTGTATAATTATACATAAATCATATGCAAAACCGACTGCGACTTTGTGTGTGTGAGACGTCTCGAACAAAACTTTAATATAATAATAATATAAATATAATATCAAAATAATTTAATAATGAAAAAGAACCAATATCAGTTTTAGTGTCAACAATTTTAAAATTGCATTTTAACTTAATTGAATTAGATAGGTTATATATCCTTTTCCGTTCCAAACCAATTAGTAAAATTAATATTGTTAAAATACATAAATTAACAAAAAAAATATTTTTAAAGTTACAAAGATAAAATTTATCATCACGAGATAAAATTAATAAAAACATAATTTCAAATATCAAAATAAATTATACTAAAAAATATCAAGAAGACACGCTTCAAGATATCGCCACAAATTGTCCCTTATTTGTTTGATTATCTCTCTCTCTCTGACTACTCTATTATTATAAATTAGACACCCATTTGCCAAAGTTAACCAAAAGAAAACATAGAGTGAGTGAGAAAGAGAGATCATAGAGTGGAGCGAGGGGGAATGAAGTCGGTGGCAAGTACTTCCTCAGACATGGTTGGTGGAACAAATTCACATTCAGGGCATGATATAGAGCGATGTGGGCACTTTCAAATGCCACTACACTATCCAAGGTACACAAAAAATGACTATGAGACAATGCCAGAGTGGAGGCTTGATTGCTTGCTCAAAGAGTATGGCTTACCCATCATTGGAGACCTTCAACAAAAGAGAAACTTTGCCATGGGAGCCTTCCTATGGCATCAATAATACCTCTTTTCTTAACCATCTCTCTTCTCATGTGTCATTCAAACCACCTTCAATTTTAAGGATTGTAATTTTTCATGGTCATTTGGCCAAACAGTTTGGTGGCACATATTTTCATTTGCTTGTTTTGGAGATACGTGAGACGCTATTTACTTTGATATTTGTGTGGCCTAGCTGCTCCACTTTTTATTATTTTTGGTGTGGATACAGTGATGTGATGATAACTTTTCTCTATGTAGTTCTTTTCTTTTTTATTTTATGAGCTTATTGAGGCCATGAGCCCCTGTTTTTTTGCTTTCTTTCTTCTCTTCAACAAAATTATCGTCATTAATATCACAAATCTTCAGCTGGTATAAAGAAATTAAATAATTTTCTGGCTTGGGTTTTGATCAGCTTATGATATTTTTCTCGAAGATTAATGAGACCTCAGAATTTACTCACGAACCGTTATGCCTGGCTTAGACGTACACAGAGCCAACATAAAAACAAATAAAGTTTTGAATTTTAGATTCTTGCATCATATGCCATTCCGAGTTTGTTTTTCGTTAGAAACCTTCAAATTATGCATAGTTTGTTTCATAGGTAAGCAAAAATCTTAACGGACATCATTGTACCCACGACATCTTGAATTTTGCCTAGTTTTGTCTTTAATCGAGTGTCCAAGTGTGTGATATTCCACGGTTACTCACTAGTCATCACCTAACATCGGCCACTCAACTGGAATTGTAAACTTTTTTAATGGACTTGAGTTATTTTGGTCAATGGCTTCGTTCATTACATTATCTGGAATTGTTACTCGAGTTTTGTATTGGTAATAAAGTGAGTAAATAACAAAAGGGTGGTTTTGGATGAAAATAAACAAGCAATTTCTTGATTAGTGACTCATTCAATTCCTCCAGCTGCTGCAATTACATAAGTTCCCAATGTCTAATGGCATCATTAGCGAGGGAAGTTTGCTCTTTGAAAGAGACTGGATTATGCTAATTTGGGTTGAGATTTAATGACCTATATATAAAAAATAACTTTATATGGTATTGGGTCTATTTTGTTTTATATTTTTTTTAATATATACCAACTTATATGTTTTTATCATCAAAACTTATAAAAAGGTTTGACTAGATATAAGGGTGAGCTTTGATTAAATTTACACAAGATGAATCTAAATCTAATTATATCAATTAGATTTTAAACTAATTTATTTTATTTTTTAAAAAATCAATTTAAAACTGATTTTAAAATTAAAATTTAAGTTAAGACCAATTTTAAATTCGATTTTGGTCAAATTAATTTTATCAACAAATTCTACTACCATGCATAAAACGCATTATTTATTTATTTATTTTAAAGAAAATTAATGCTCAAAGCTCAAAATTTAGTCATAAAGTGTGAAGACTTTAGATCACCTAGAAGAGAGATGTCACAACAAACCCTTTTATTTTTTTATTGCACTATTAGTCATATTTGTATCTTCATTCTCTTATTTTTTATTTTTTTTTCTTTTTGCTCATTTTATATATAAAAAAGTAATTGTGAACATATAAATTCTTATAATTATTATTATTTTATTTTTTAAAGGTTTTATTGTCTCATTTTAATGTTGATAAAATATTTTCTTATCATTCATGTAGTTTATAAACCATATGTTAGCTTTCATAAGTCAAACATTAATGAACTATCACTTTTGTATATGTATATTTATTTTGAATTT